CTGCTGAACATAATACTACACAAACATTAGATGTTGCCATGGTTTAATTGCACATAACATGTAAACATTCACAGTACAGGGAGGAAAAAGTCTGTGAACCTTTGGACTTAATAACTGCTGGACCCTCCTTTGGCAGCAATAACCTCAACCAAACGTTTCCTGTAGTTGCAGATCAGACCTGCACAACGATCTGGAGTAATTTTGGACCACTCCTCTTCACAAAACTGTTTCAGTGTAGCAATATTCTTGGGATGTCTGGTTTGAATCGCTCTCTTAAGGTCATGCCACAGCATTTCAATCGGGTTGAGGTCAGGACTCTGACTGGGCCACTCCAGAAGGTGTATTCTGTGCTGTTGCAGCCATTGTTTTGTTGAATTACATGTATGCTTTGGGTCATTGTCCTGTTGCATCACCCATCCTCTGCGGAGCTTCAGTTGGCGGACAGATGGTCGTACGTTTTCCTGCAAAATGTCTTGATAAACTCTGGAATTCATTTTCCCATCAATGACAACAATCCGTCCAGGCCCTGAGGCAGCAAAGCAGCCCCAAACCATGATGCTCCCTCCGCCATGTTTTACAGTGGGGATGAGGTGTTGATGTTGGTGTGCTGTGCCTTTTTTCTCCACACATAGTGTTGTGTGTTCTTCCCAAACAACTCAATCTTGGTTTCATCTGTCCACAGTATATTTTGCCAGTAGTGCTGTGAAACATCCAGGTGCTCTTTTGCAAACTTCAAACGTGCTGCAATATTCTTTTTGGACAGCAATGGATTCCTCCGTGGTGTCCTCCCATGTACTCCATTCTTGTTTAATGTTTTCCTTATTGTAGATGTGTCAACAAAAATGTTAGCATGTGCCAGAGATTTCTGTAGGTCTTTAGCTGACACTCTGGGATTCTTCTTTACCTCATGCAGCATTCTGCGCTGTGCTCTTGCAGTCATTTTTACAGGACGACCACGCCTAGGGAGAGTAGCAACAGTGCTAAACTTTCTCCATTTGTAGACAGTCTGTCTTACTGTGGACCCATGAACATCAAGGCTTTTGGAGATACTTTTGTAACCCTTTCCAGCTTCATGCAAGTCAACAATTCTTGATCGTAGGTCTTCTGAGAGCTCTTTTCTGCGAGGCATGGTTCACATCAGACAGTGCTTCTTGAAACCAGTAAACCCAAAACAGGTGTGTGTTTTTTAAGGGCAGGACAGCTGTCAGCAACACATCCAATATCATCACACTGATTGGAGTCAAGGTTGGCTCACTCCTGGCTCCAATTAGCTCTGGGAGAAATCATTAAGCTAGGGCCTCACATAATTTTTCCTCCCTGCATTGTGAATGTTTACATGTTATGTGCAATTAAACCATGGCAACATCTAATGTTTGTGTAGTATTATGTTCCACAGACTGTGTTCTTCTATTGTTGTGACTTAGATGACGTTCAGAGCACATTTTATGCCCAATTCATGCAAAACTCCACGTAATCCCAAGGGGTTCACATACTTTTTCTTGCAACTGTATGTATAGACATGCTGCAAGTTTGTTAGGTCCTGAAAAATGGAAGAGACCCATGGAATGTCATGCACAGGAAATCAATCAAAGATGCCAATGAGGGAACCCCGATGAAGAACTTTGCTGGAAGAGGATAACACTGGACTCCATAAACTACTAAGTATCTGTTTTTTCATTTACATACAGGAGCCAAACCAAGAAAAAAAATGTAGCTGGGTAGTATGTAGTGCCTCCTTAAAGCTGATCTCCACCTTTTTGATATACTTGACATAGTTCGCTCGGGCCAGCTTGACCCAAACAAACGATGTCCCTCCTGTGTGATGTAAGTATATAGCTGCAGCATTCTGGGTGTGAGCTGAGACTTCCAATCTCATACCTGGAACACAGTCTATCACAGTGGAGCTCAGCCATTAAAAGTAAGCCATGTGTTCTGTCAATAAATACAAAGCTTCATCTGACTGGCTGAGTCAGAGAGGCGGGCTGATGATGTCACAACCTCTGACTCAACTAATCAAAGGAAGCTTTGTATTCATTGATGGAACACATGGCTTACTCTGAATGGCTGAGCGCCACTGTGACAGACTCTAATGCAGGGGTGTCAAACTGGCGGCCCTCCAGCTGTTGAGAAACTACAAGTCCCATCATTCCACTGCCTTTGGGAGTCATGCTTGTAACTGTCAATCTTGCAATGTCTCATGGGACTTGTAGTTTGGCAACAGCTGGAGGGCCGCCAGGTTGACACCTGTGCTCTACACTCCACCGAAACTGCCTTACTCAAACTCTCCAATGACCTGCTAACTGCCAAAGCTAAGTCAGTGCTCCTACTCCTTGACCTCTCTGCGGCCTTCGACACAGTCGACCACCCCCTCCTCCTCAAAAAGCTACACTCCCTCGGCCTCAGAGATTCTGCTCTCTCCTGGCTCTCATCCTACCTGTCACAACGCTCTTTCAGCGTTACCTATAATGCTACCCACCTCCCCCTCACTCCCAATCTCTGTTGGGGTCCCTCAAGGCTCCTTCCTCGGGCCCCTTCTCTTCTCCATCTACACCTCTTCCCTTGCCCAACTCATACACTCTCACGGCTTCAACTATACCACCTATATGCCGACGACACACAAATCTATCTCTCAACCCCCCACCTCACCCCCTCAGTCTCTGCCCGAATCACACACCTACTGAGCAACATATCAGACTGGATGTCGCTCCACTTCCTTAAACTGAACCTCTCCAAGACCGAGTTTCTTGTCTTCCCCCCAGCCCGGACCCCACCCCCCATTGACTTCTCCATCATGTCCAACAACGCCACCATCAAACCCGCCCCGCAGGCCAGAGTACTTGGTGTCATTCTGGACTCCAACCTATCCTTCCAGCCCCAAGTCCAATCTTTAACAAACTCGTGCAGACTCCACCTCTGCAACATTGCCAAAATCCACACGTTCCTAACCCCAGAAACCACTAAACAGCTCATCCACTCCCTCATCATATCACGCCTCGACTACTGCAACTCCCTCCTCACTGGCCTGCCTCACCGCTGGCTATCCCCGCTTCAGTCCATCCTGAATACGGCTGCCAGACTCATTCACCTTTCCAACCGCTCCGTCTCCGCCACCCCCTCTGCCAATCCCTCCACTGGCTTCCGATTGCGCAACGGATCAAATTCAAAATCCTAACACTGATGTACAAAGCTGTCCACCATACTGCCCCGAACTACATCACTGACCTAATATCCAAGTACCACACAGCACGCACACTCCGCTCCTCACAAGACCTCCCTCTCTCTAGTTCCCTGGTCTCCTCCTCCCATGCTCGCCTCCAGGACTTCTCCAGGGTGTCACCCTTCCTCTGGAACTCCCTGCCCCAACCAATCAGATTATCACCTGCTCTCTTCTCCTTTAGGTGCACCCTGAAAACCCATCTCTTCAGGGAAGCCTACCCCACCCCCTGCTAACTTGCCGAGCTCCTCCACTCTTCCTACCACTCCATCCCCCACAGCTATCTCCTCCTGTGCCACCATCCCCTCCCTCCTAGATTGTAAGCTCGAAAGAGCAGGGCCCTCGATCCCCTCATGTTTTGCATTGTATTGGTATTGTTCTGTCACATGTTCTGTCCCCCTTTGTAATGTACAGCGCTGAGCGAACTATTGGCGCTTTATAAATACTGTATAATAATAATACTGTGTTCCAGGTATGAGACTGGAAGTCTTGGTTCACTCCCGATACACAGGGTAGTACTCTATATGTAACCACAGCCATTTACAGTTTAGATCGCACATCCAGTGGCCTCACAGGTTAATGAGCCCAGCTATCCATACCCTTTGTTTGTGAGTCTCTTGACTATTAGCCTTAAAATGGAAATAATTGATTTTGAAGATTTGCCTTCCATCGACTTCAATAGGGTTTGCATTAATGTTCGCACTTTTCAGACCTTTAGGCGTGTTTGCTGAATATAACAATAAACTGAACTAGGGATGCACTGAAATTTCGGTGGCCGAAATGTTTCAGCCGAAAACACTCCTTTGAGTGAAAAAAAAAAAAAAAGCACTGACGGAGGTGCTGAAAAAAACCCGCCCCTCGCTTCCACCCCTCTCCGCCAGCCGCTGCCGCCACCGGCCGCCGCTCGGTAGTTCAGCCTTACCTGAGAGACCATCCATCAAGGCTCTGGGCATAGAGATGAGTGAAGGAAAAATGGCCGCTACACATCTCTATGCCCTTGGAGGACTGGAACAATGTGACTTCCCATTCCAGCCATTTTTGTTTTTGTTAAAGCACCAGCTCAATGCTTTTTTTTGATCCAATGCTTTACATTGCAGAGGAGAGATGTGGGGTCTTATTGACCCCATGCTCTCCATAAAGAGGACCTGTCACTAATTATTTCTATCACAGGGGATGCATGCATTTCTTGTGATAAGAATAAAAGTGATTACATTTTTTTTAAAAAGAAACAGTGCAAAAAAAAAATTAAATACATTTAAAAAAAAAAAGTTTAAAGTGCCCCCGTCCCCCCGTGCTCGCACATAGTGGTGAACGCAGACATAGGCCACGCCCACATAGTGTAAATGGGTGTTCAATTAAACCACACACGTGAGGTATCACCACAAATGTCGGAGTAAGAGCAATAATTCTAGACACTAGACCTCCTCTGTAGCGTTACACTGTTAACAATGGCTGTAGAAATGTTTAAAGCATCACCCATGGAGACTGTTTTTTAACCACTTCCCGACCGTGCCGATTTGCATATAAACGGCCGGACGGTGGCAGTAAAGGGTCGGGTGGCCGTTTATGAACGGCCTCCCCGCACCCTGCTTGTGCGCGCTCCCTATACTGGGAGCCGCGCAGCAGCACCGCGATCCGGTGCCCGCTGTGTCCTCCGGACACAGTGAAACACCGATCGTCAGACGGGACCTCTGTACGAGGTCCCGATCATGTGATCACTGATTGGCCAATCAGTGATCACATGCAAAGTAGTAAGCAAGATGTCACTTGTGACATCATTGCTTACTACGTGTGAAATCTGTGAATGATCACAGAGGTCACATGGTACAAGGCTATTCACAACAGCCTTGTACCATGTGACAAGCTGTGATCAATCACAGCTCACACAGTACTTCTCAATGAGTGCAGGAATGCATGCAAAGTAGTAACAGAGAGAAAGAGAAATGATTGCTATTTTTACATCCTATATGGGTGTAAAAGCAATCAGTAAAAAAAAAAAAAAAAAAAATCTTCATCACCCCCCACAAGTAGTACAGTGTCACCATGGTGACACTGTACTGCTAGGGTGACAGTATGTAAAAAAAAAAAATAAAATAAAAAATATTATAAAAAAATAAAATAAAAATGTAAAAAAAAATGTTTAAAAATTATAATTTTTGGTTATAAACGAATTTTTTTTTTTTTCTAAAAAGATAATTGAATACATTTTGGCAAAGATTTATGATGAAATATTATTAATTTGCAAATTTTTTTATAAAAAAAACACTTTTGTTCAAAATTTTTGGACTTTTTCATTTATATAGCAAAAAAAATAAAAATCCCAGCGGTGAATAAATACCACCAAAATAAAGCTTTATCTGTCTCAAAAAAATTAATTTGGGTACAGTGTTGCATGACCGCGCAATTGTCATTCAAAGTGTGATAGCGCTGAAAGCTGAAAATTGCTCTGGTCAGGAAGGGGGTAAAAGTGTCCGGTCTGGAAGTGGTTAAGTACTGCAGTTTCACGCCATTCCACAAGCTTGCACAATTTTAAAGCGTAATATGTTGGGTATCTATTTACTCGCCGTAACATCCGCTTTCATATTTTACAAAAAAAAATGGGGTATATATTGTTTTTTTTTTTTTTAAATCAAAGTGTATTTTTTTCCAAAAAAGATATATTCATTTTTAAAAACTGCGCATTTCAGTTTCAGCTTTCGGCCAAGTACATTTTGAATATTCATTTTCGGTTTTGGCACCAGAATTTTTATTTTGGTGCACCACTAAACTGAACACAAGCAGTTTCACTCATCACCAGTAATCAGTGAGCTGCTGGCACTTAGAAATGTGGATGAGATGGTGCCCAGCCCCAGTGTCACTTTAACAGGCTCTGTGTGCCCGAGGGTAAGAAGGAGCGGCCGATCATATGAATACTGTGATTGGCTGTCACAGTGGTGACCTGATAAGGAGCTGGTCCGCCGCCACCCAATCATTAGCTGTTTTTGCCAGATCTCTCATTTTGTTGAGACTATGTAATGAGAGCACTCTCAGCTTTTTTGGCTTTAAAGCTTAATCTCTTTTGCACCACACGTATGCGTTTCATGGGCAGCAAGGCCTTAAGGCCAGCTTCACACCTATGCAGGTTGCATTTGAGCCATTTCTGCATTGCGTTTTGCATTTTTGCCCCTGCATTTTTTCTGCGTTTTTGATACATTTTGCAGGGATTTTTAAAATTTTTCTTGTTGCTAGGTGTGAGATGGGGAAACAGCTCTCATTGTTTGAACACTGTTTGTGTGGAAGTAAATTAATGTTTTGACTGACATTCTGCGGTTTAGCCACAAGATGTCACTGTTTTTCTAACACAGCCTCAGACTGCATAGATATTTGTATATTCATGAAGAGGTGGGGTTTTGCACTCAGGGTTGGAGAGAACAGGAAGGAGAGAGAGAAGCCATGTTTTGGAGTATGTTGAATAAGGGGATGTATGAGATGAGAATCTGATGACATCTAGGTGTGAAAGCGCCCTTCAGTAACCAGGATACTGATGAGATTGCTGCCAGGATGCTGATGAGATTGCTGCCAGGAATGCTGATGAGAATGCTGCCAGGAAGGCTGATGAGAGCAGAGGAACTAAGCAACATACACGGCGAGACCGCATGATTGTTGGAGAGACATTTGTTCTGTTCAGAGTCACCAGCGGATGCAAAGAAGACCCGGGTCGGTAAGATCGTGCACGCCCCTCATTTAAGTGTTGGCGCCTTGAGACTGAGTCCAGGCCTATAGTTAGTTAGGGTCTCTGTGTCAGGCCACAAGTGTTGTTACTGATCATTGGAAGGACTCCACAAATTAAAGTGACATTTCACATTGGAGAGCTGATAAAATCCTACAAACTCAAGCCAGACTGGCGTTTTGCTGAGAAGGAATACTCAGGCACGTGCTACAGGACCAGTTATGGGAGGGGGAATACTGTAGATTTGTGTAAGATTGTAAGCTGTTGTGCTGCACCGCAGACTAGCCCATACCATACACCCATACACTGATTCCTGCACATTTAGGGTAATAACAGGTAAGGTGTGGCAGTTTAGTTGTGCCCGCCAGTAGGTAAATTACTACACCTTCTACCTTCATCCATCAGAAGGCGCCGTGCTGTGCAGCACAAGGGTCTCAGCCTTTGGGCTGGGTGTATGTAAATTTATTGTACGTTCCCAGCATTTGGGGTTGTGTTTATTTACCACATCTAAGTAAAATTCTGTTGTGGCAAAAGCTGGTGTTGGGGTTGCTTTCCTCGTTCGTGACTTCACTGTATCCTGGGGAGCCCACCCCGGTACACGGCTTACATAGGCAAATTTAAAATGCAGTAAAAACGCAATACATGCTTTTCTGCGGCGTTTCCATTGAAGTCTATAGAACCAAAAACGCAAGTTTTTGCATTAAAAAAGTCCCTGATCCTTTCCAAAAAATGCACCGGGTGAAAACGTGGAGATGTGAACGTGTCCCATAGGAAATCATGTTAAAGGGACCTTACTGCATTTCTGCAAAACGCTGCAGAAAATGCTTAGGTGTGAACCTAGGGTAATACTGTATATTGGAAGTTTCCAGTTGTTTTTTATTTGTTATTATCACACTTGTCTCCCTGGTAAAAAGTCAGGTTCACAGAATATGTCATGACAAATCCTCCTAGAAGTCCTTGCCAAAATAACGCACATCTGCGGCCAGCTGTGATCTTCATCTCGTTGGCAATGAATGACACCCACCTATAAGGCCAATGGCTTCCACGGTGCAATTCCACTACAGCTGATTTTCCTGCAGCAGCAGTTCCTGACATACAGCTACATATGGACGGGGCACACCTCTGTGTAATAAATAGAAACCCTAAAACTAGTGTGGATTCCAACAATAACTTATCCAGTGCAGAAAATGTAGCAAAGGATCTTACTTTGGCCAAACAGGATAGAAGTTGTGAACAAGGATGAATTTGCACAGACATACCATCAAGGAACATAAAGAACATGACTTCTGCACATCTGTGGTCAGGGGCGTCCCTACAGTTGGTGCGATAACACTTGGTGACACCCCCTTTGACGATCCCCACAGAATGGATCGGATCTGCGGATTGAGCATATTGGATCGGACTCTGATCCATTATGCTCCCCAATCTGCAGATCCGATCCATCCTGCGGGGATAGTCGGCTTGCCTTACAACTTACCTTTTAATGGAGCGAGTCCGGTGTCACCCCATATAGGTTGCATGCCGACGATCCCCGCAGGATGGATCGGATCTGTGGATTGAGCATAATGGATCGGACTCCGGTCCATTATGCTCCCCAATCTGCAGATCCGATCCATCCTGCGGGGATCGTCGGCTTTCTTTACAACTTACCTTTTCCTGGAGCGGGTCCGGTGTCACCCCGTATAGGTTGCATGCCGACGATCCCCGCAGGATGGATCGGATCTGTGGATTGAGCATAATGGATTGGACTCTGATCCATTATGCTCCCCAATCTGCAGATCCGATCCATCCTGCGGGGATCGTCGGCTTTCTTTACAACTTACCTTTTCATGGAGCGAGTCCGGCGTCACCCCCTTTAGGTTGCATGCCGATGATCCCCGCAGGATGGTTCGGATCTGCAAATTGAGCATAATGGATCGGAGTCCATTTTGCTCCCCAATCCGCAGATCCGATCCATCCTGCGGGGATCATCGGAGTGCTTTACAACTTACCTTTTCGTGGAGCGGGTCCGGTCCCGCACCTGCCTCAGAAGAAGAGATAGAATATGAAGAAGAAGAAAAAGAATTTCAGTCCGATATTATATTTGACATTTAAAAGTATAGCAACATTGTATCTATTTATATCCGAATAGAAACATCTGCATCCGAAATGGATACAAATAGATACAATGTTACAAATTTTTTTCTTCTTCTTCTTCTTCTTCTTCTTCTTCATCTTCTTCATATTGTATTTCTTCCTCTTCTTCTTATTCTATTTCTTCTATTTCTTCTTTTTATTCATATTCTATTTCTTCTTCTTCTACATATTCTATTCCTTCTTCTTCTGCCCGAGAGTTGTCCCCCCCAGTCTTTGTTTTTGCTGTGTCTTATCTCTAGTCTAATCCTAGTTTTATAACCATTGCTGTGTACATTTGTTTGTGTGTGTTTTTTTTTCTTTATTTTGTTTTTTTCTTTTATCCCCTTTTAACATTTCTTTTAACATTCTGCTAAAACTTTGTGAAGTAGTACTGCCTGGACCTTGAAGAAGGGCACATAATTGTCCTCCAAATTGTATGTTAGTGCAAATAAAAAAAGTATCACAGACAGGACTTTCAAAACTTGTTTCAGGTAAATGATTGTGTTGACTTTCCATTTAGGTCCCTCTTGCATCAAAAAAATGTCCCCCTCCAGACACATTTTAAATGAATATCTCTGGTATCTCATTTTCTATCATTAACTGCACAAAGGGAATTGCCTTTTGTGGCGTTTGCTGTCCTGAGACCAGCGACAGGCGGTCCCAGTGGTACCACAGGCTTGCTGATAACCCGTCCCGGTAGGTCTAGATTGCCGCCAGTAGAAGCTGTGCAGTCATATATATGAGTTGACACGGATGTGACATGTACCCGGGATTTAGTACAATGAGGTAAGATCCATGTGTTGCATGTTGTTAGGTCAATAAGTCAAAGCTATCTGTTAAAAAGCCACAGTTGCATTCAGCAATTTTCATTGATGATGATTATTATTATTATACAGGATTTATATATTATTATTATTATTATTATTATACGGGATTTATATATTATTATTACTATTATTATTATACAGTATTTATAAAGCGCCAATGGTTCGCTCAGCGCTGTACATTACAAAGGGGGACAGAACATGTGAC